GGGGCGGGGCCTGCAGGGGCGGGGCCGCCTCCCGCGAAACCGGAGTAAGGCCGTGGTGGGCTGTGAGTTAGAGACGGAGCGGGGCTGTTGGCGTCCCGGGAATTAGGGACTGGCTTGAAGAGCCTGGCCTTTAGGTGTGTGCAGGCCAGGCTTATTAAACCTCGAGGCYGTTTAGTTTAGGTTTCGTAGGGAACAGCCCTAGCCCCCAGGCGCTTGTCSTGGCGCCGTCCCAGCAGCGAGCCCGGCGAAACGGGGTGCTGGGGCGTCCTGCGAGGCGGCAGGGCCCTTCCCGCGCCCGGAGGAGCGTCCGAGCGTGTCCGTGTGCGTTCCAGCGGCGCGGTGCCGGCTGCGCTCGCCCCAGCGCTCCTTCCGTGCCGCGGCCGCGCTGCGGAGGCCCGCGGAGGAGCAGCACAAGGAGCCGGCGGCATCCTCCTCTCAGCGCCAGTTTGATTCCCACCCGGCAGATGACGCGCCCGAGCCGGGGACGCAGGACGCCTGGGCCAGGTAACTTCCTCGCCGCTCAGCGCCCTGGCTGCCTTGAAACCCCGAGACGTCGCATTCCGGAGCTAATCCCGAGTGCCAGACTGAGCAGCGGGAGCTCTGACCCGCTCTGGTGCTGCGGGTTCCCCTGGCCATCGCACAGCTACGACGGGACTTGCTTTCAACAGGGAGCCTCTTGCAGTCTGCAAGAAGAAGCCTTCACTTCTGGGTTTATTTTTTTTTTGGGGGGGGTGTAAAATTGCAGTTACRTTGTCCGTACATCCGTAAATTTAAAAGCCCTGTTAGAAAAACTTAGAGCTTTTTATTTTTAGAGGAGGACGTTATTTGATCAGATTCCAGGGAACCCTCTTGATCGAGACCTCCCCTATTTCTCTGTGTGCCCCCCTCTAATAAACGTTCATTGGGAATCCTTTTCGGTTAGGACGTCCTGCACTCGCAGACCTCGAGGCGTGTCTGCCCCCAGCGAGGGCTGTGAATGAGCAGCAGAGCCGGGTCGCTCACGTTTGGTGCTGACGTTTGATACCTTCTCGTAGTTACACTGGCCAGGACGGCCAGGAGTCTGAGGACTCCGCGAGCGAGGAGCAGCTGCAGCATCGAATCCTCGCGGCCGCGCTGGAGTTTGTGCCCGAACACGGCTGGACTGCAGAAGCCATTGCAGAGGGAGCCAAGGTATGTGGGCAGAGAAGCGAAGGACCAGCTGCAAACTGGATGGAGCCGATGTTCCAAGACAGCCAGGCCTGCATGCTTCCGCCACGTACTCTTGGGCAACCAGCCTAGGTAACACTGTAAAGTTAAACTAAGGCACAGCACACACTGGTGATCCTAACGAGCACATGTTCAGGAAGAGCTTTATAACGCCGTGGTGTTGTGTTTAAATTCACATAGCATCGTATACAAAATAGTACATATTTCCGAGCTGGCTCGTGCTCAGTAACCCAGGACCTGGTGTGTCCTTCTGTCTCCTTCGCTGCAGACGCTGGGCCTCTCTGCTGCGGCCGCGGGGATGTTCCGCAGCGACGGCAGCGAGCTGGTCCTGCACTTCGTGTCTCAGTGCAACACCAAGCTCGCCGAGCTGCTGGAGCAGGAACAAAAACTAGTGCAGCTGGGCGAAACACAGTGAGTACCGCCTATGGAAAGGCACCTTCCTTGGCGTATGAGACCCCGGGACTGGCTAAACAGAGGGCTTATTCAGCAGGCAGATACTTAAGTCAAAGCGTAACTTACCCAAACTTGCCCCAAATCACCGGCATCTCCAACATGGAGTCAGAGCAGAGGTGGGAAGGACACATGGCAGTTTCTATCTCTAATGCTGAAGCAGGACACCGGTTGATTTTTTTTTCAAGTTCAGAACTGAGTCTAACTTAGATGTTCTTCATACTTTTATTTTTTTTCTCTTCCAGAAAGAAGACTACAGATCAATTTCTAAGAGATGCTCTGGAAGCCAGACTAAGGATGTTGATTCCATATATTGAGAAGTGGCCCCAGGTATATAAAGAATATAYGAACTGTCTTTCTTGTATTTATTTTAAACATCCTGTGGCCTTTAACGCCGTCTCTCCGACACAGTAATTCAAGGCTCTAAAATAATCCCCAGTGGGTGTTTCAGGTCATTTATAGCCTCCAAGAGGAGAGCACCCTTGGAAGGAGGCAATCAGAGGTTTCTTCAGCGCAGTGTGATTTGGTGCAGTTCCAGAGGGACAGCCCCCTCCGGGGTCCACTCCGCCCAGCCGGGATCCCCAGGGGTTCCCCGCACWGTTGTCCTCGACGCCTCCTCGCACCGGAGGAGCCAGGAGCACAGGATACCAGGGCTGCAATCGCCTGAAACTCCAAGGTGCAGAACTGCTCTTGTGCTGGGGGAGCTGCCCGGCCCGGCGGGCGAGTGAGGAACCCCTGACAATCTGAGCACAGCAGCTCTCTCCGCTGGCAATCTGCYTTTGCTCCAAACTCACATTTCACTCTCAAGCCGTCTTTCCCAGGGCCAGAAAGGGATCATGCCGTATAAATCCCTAGAGCGGCAGCTCAGGAGACCCAACCCGCTGCCATTGGGGCTGAGCAGGGAGCCTGGGCTCCGGGCCGTGCTGAGGTGCGAGCTCAGCTGCACGTTCCTCACAAATCCCACTTCTTGCAAACACKGGTGCCGTAGGCAGCTCGGTCACAAGAAGGAGAAGATACCAGAGCAAAGGAATGGAGGGTTGCTTCATGCTGTGTCCTTCTCCCTGTGACTTTTCCGTTTATCGGGGTATGTTTCAGGCTGTCAGCATCCTGCTGCTCCCACGGAACATCCCGTCCAGCCTCAGCCTGCTCACTAGCATGATCGACGATATCTGTCACTTCGCGGGAGACCAGTCCACGGATGTGAGTCTTTCTGGTTGGGGTCTGCACTTCAGCAGAGCAAAGGATCAAAGGGCGCCTTGGGCTGCATCTCTTGAAACAATCCCGTTGTTGAATGGGGGAGATGCTTTCTAAAGCACTCAAGGGACTTCAGAAGTTACATTCTAATTTCCAAAGAGATCTAGGAGCCAACGGGACACACTTTTCAGGCAAATTAAAAGCCCCTACTTTCCTAGATTTATTTGTAAGCACTTTCTTTTTAAGGTGCTAGACAAAATTGCAAAATTTTGAATTAGTGACTAAAAATTTGATCCACTATTCAATTAGCAAGAAATAYATCTCAATTGAAGCAGCTGTCTCTTTCCCTGGCAATAGCATTTCCTGATTTTACTTGAAAAGCTTTAAAGAATCTACCTAAAAATACCAGTAGCTTATTAAAGCTTTCATCTTTCTGGCAGGAAATAAAAAGAAAATTATAACCTTAATTAAAGCAATTAATAAATTATTTTAATTCATATAGATGTAGAGGGAGATGAGAAAAAAAAAGAAACTATTTTAATAAACTACTTTAATAAACTTCTTTTATGTGAGTTTAAAAGAGAAGCTACTGCAGAGAAAAAAAAATACAAGAGGATGGAAAAATAAAAGGAATAAGCCAGAAAAGAACTGAAATGTTGTGATTGCGTCAGGGGGTGCAAGTCCCTTCTGAGTTATGAAAGTCACAGTGACACATCAGAGTTCCTGAAGCCTCCTCACTGCTTCACGCAGCAGAAGAGGTTCCTAAGCTTTATTTTATTTCATTTCATTTCATTTTATTTTGTTTTACTTCATTTTATTTTATTTTATTTGCGCCTCCTGATCGATACGCAGGAGTTTTCTTGATGAGCTGCAAACAGGAGAGCTTTTAGTCAAGCRGCCCTTTTCAAAATCCACACCGGTGTTCTCATTTCTCTGGTGCTTTGTAGTCATGAGCAGCACGGCCAGTGTTTTTAAGAGCACCTCATTTTTACGGAAATATGATATAATCTCTCCTTCTCTTTTTTCCTTGCTGCTGCCTGGTCTGCGTCCTTGCAGGATGCAGGTCGACTCTCTCTGTCTCCGCTCGTGCCTTTGCAGTTTAACTGGTACACTCGGCGGGCCGTGCTCACCGGCATCTACAACACCACGGAGCTGGTGATGATGCAGGACTCCTCGCCGGACTTCGAGGACACGTGGCGCTTCCTGGAGAACAGGGTGGCCGACGCCGTGAACATGGACAATACGGCGAAGCAGGTAACGTGAGCGGCACGCCGTGTCCCCCTCCGCCACGYGTGACGGCAGAAGAAGGCTGAATGTCACGGTCCCCTCCTGTCTCCTAGGTAAAATCAACCGGAGAAGCTCTAGTCCAGGGACTGATGGGAGCTGCGGTCACTGTAAGTACTGCTGCGAGGGCTCAGAGGGCAGAGTGTTTCTGGTCCCTTCCACACTTCATGTCAGTGCATTTCTCCTCCCGAATCTAGGGACCCGCGAGAAAGACTTCTCTATCATAACCACCTGTAAGGGCCACTTTCCGCATAGTTGGGAGTCAATTAGCTGTTTTGTGGCATAAGAAGTGGCAGAAAAAGTGCCTGCAGTTGCTGCTGCAGGACGAGCAATGGGGAGGAGAGACGGGAGAGCAGAATAAAGGTGTGATCCTGCTCTCCATCCCTWGGAGCACAATCTCTTCCCCTGCCGTTGAGAGCTTGCCGGGTTGTGTACGGCAGCAGCAGTATTTCCTTGTTGCTGGAAATACGTTTACTTTGCACTTATGTGGACAAGAAAGATCCTGAACCATGGGAATGTTCTTCTGAAGGGAAACGGGCAGCAGCCGGTGGGTCAGCGCAGAGGTATCCGAGCGTTAGCTCCAAGAAGGGCCGCTCTGGGTCTCCCAAAGCTGCCGCCCAGGTGTGCAGAGCCCTCCCGCTTCATTGGCAGCAGCCAAACCAGCCGCCTGCAGGTCCTGGTCAATTCGGCGTGTCTGGCAGTACAGTCACACGAAGCGGCGGGAGGGGACACCCACTAACCTAGAAAGTACCTAGGAAGTCAGGAAGGGCTTTTGTGTCCCTGGGGTGTTCCCCTGAGGGGATCTAGAGCAACGTCGCTCCAACCTTTTCCCATTCACCCTCTCCTTTTGAGCGTACATCCCTTTTGTACTCGCGTCTCGAGTCACGAGCCAACGCGGCTGCGCTTAGCGGGAGCGCGCTCCGCCGGGCCGCGCGAGGGGCCGGAGCGCCGCGGGGGCGCGGGAGCCGCGCGCGGCCCCTCAGCGCCCTTCTCCGCGTCCCGCAGGTGAAGAACCTGAGCGGCCTCAACCAGCGGCGCTGAGCGGCGGCGGCGGCAGCAGGAGGCGGCTGCGGAGGAAGGCGCCGCGGGACCCGCTGCTCGGCCCGGCTGCCCGCGCCCTGCCGCGCTTCGGTTCACTTCGGTTCGCTTCACTTCGGTTCGGTTCGGCAATAAAGGCGCCGTGCGGAGCTGAGCGCTGCAGCCGCGAGGGGGCGGGCGGCGCGGGAAGCGCGGCCGGGCGGGCGGGCGCGCGGAAGCGCTGGCTCAGCGTTGTTTGG